GTAACTAAATGGGATAAGAGTTTGGCAGAAGAAGGGAGCAAATTCAAAATTACTTAGCCATATTAGCTAAAAATGAAATTCACTTTAATAAATTTAGTTAAGATTCAAAGCCTCTGGTCAGGCATAGTGGCTCATGCCTATAAGCCAAACACTTTGGGAGGCTGAGATGGGAAAATCACTTGAGCTTACAAATTCGAGACCAGCCTGGGGCAACACAGTGAGACTTCATCTCTTCTAAAAATAAAAAAAATGGGCAGGCACGGTGGCTCATGCTTGTAATCCCACTACTTCGGGAGGCTGAGGCAGACAGATCACGAGATACTGAGATTGAGATCATCCTGGCTAACACAGTGAAATCCCATCTCTACTAAAAATACAAAAAATTGGCCGGGTGCAGGGACTCATGCCTGTAATCCCAGCACTCTGGGAGGCCAAGGCAGGCAAACCACGAGGTCAAAAGATCAAGACCACCCTCGCCAACATGGTGAAACCCTGACTCTACTAAAAATACAAAAATTAGCTGGGCATGGTGGCATGGCCCTGTAGTCACAGCTACTTGGGAGGCTGAGGCAGAAGAATTGCTTGAACCCGGGAGGCAGAGGCTGCAGCGAGCCAAGGTCGTACCACTGCACTCCAGCCTGGCACCTGGTGACAAAATAAGACTCTGTCTCAAAAAAAAAATAATAATAAATAAAATACAAAAAATTAGCCTGGTGTAGTGGCACACACCTGCAATCCCAGCTACTCGGGAGGCTGAGGTAGGAGAATCTCTTGAACCCAGGAGACAAAGGTTGCAGTGAGCTGAGAATGTGCCTCTGCACTCCAGACTGGGCAACTGAGCGAGACTCCATTTCAAAAAAAGAAAAAAAGAAAGAAAGAGAAAAAGAGAAAAGGAAATTATCCAGGCATTGTGGTGCATGTCTGTAGTTCCGGTTACTTGGGAGGCTAAGGCAGGAGGATCGGTTGACCACAGGAGTTCAAGGCTGCAGTGAACTCTGATCGTGCCACTGAACTCCACCCTGGGCAACAGAGCAAGGCTGTCTCCAAAAAAAAAAAAAAAGACTCAAAGTAAAGTCAAAATCGTACATGATCAAAACTTAGTATTCAAAAAATACTAAATATTCCATCAAACATTAAATTCTAATTCTTTTGTGAGTCAATGTTCTTCTAAGACTCTCAATAAATATCTAATTTTCTCCCCCAAAATGCAGAAAAGCCATCACCACCATCTGCCCAAACTAGTACTTTCTACTTCTCACATTAATGCAAGTAATATCCGGAAAAATTAATCACATCCTCCCATTAGCTTTACCAGCCTGAATTTCATTAAGAGGTGCTATGTCTACTGCCTAGGCACACTCTTATGAAGTGAAGTGGTGGGCTGAAATTGTACGCTTGAGTTAATGCAGATTAAATATACTTTGGTAACTTACTGCAATGCCAAATTAATATAATGTAAAAGGCTTAAAGTATAATTGGCATATAATAAACTGCACATATTAAAAATGTACAATTTTGATGTGTACAGAAATTTAACTTCTGAAAACCCTAATCCCTTTCTTTTGCCAAAAAGTTAAATAGGACTTTTGTTATTTGAGAAAAGTACTTACCTTCATGTAATTCACAATCTTAGCAAGAACACCAAACTTATATCCAGAGCTTCCTGATAGAACTTTCAAGTTAAATGATCCATTGCTATGATCTGGAAATGAAGTTCAAAAAAACAGTAACATCGTCATATTAAATGTGATTATGACTCTTGAGCAGCTGAGATAATTTTAATGCTGGTAACATTTCTTGAGTTTTTCATCTAATAAATTCTACCCTGTAAAATTTTGGTGAAAAATACAGAATCTTTTCAGTATATACATTAAACTACCAATTTTCTCATTGAGGGTAGAAACAAAATATAAATAACTTAAAAGCACTAAAACACAGTTTTTTAAATAAGTATCCTTATTGTTCACGCCACTGCACTCCAGCCTGGGCGACACAGAGAGACTGTCTCAAAAACAAAAAGAGGTATATTTATCACATTCTTTCTTTTTTTTGAGACAGGGTCGCATTCCCATTGCCCAGACTGGAACTCAATGGTACAATCACAGCTCACTGCAACCTTGACTTACCAGGCTCCAGTGATTCTCTCACCCCAGCCTCCTGAGATGCATGCCACCATGCCTGTCTAATTTTTGTATTTTTTGTAGAGATGGGGTTTCGCCATGTTTCCCAGGCTGGTTTCAAACTCCTAAGCTCAAAAGATTCACCCACCTCAGCCTCCCAAAGTGCTGTGGTTACAGGTGTGAGCCACTGCACCTGGCCCCCTTCCCCTTTATCTTGTTTTTTTCTTTTTACTTTTTAATTTTTTTCTTTGCTTCTCAGTCCTCAGGAAAAGCAGTTACCTCATTCTTAATTCTGATTAGGCTCACTCCATAATCAGAAGTATAGTTTATTTAACAAGGGAACAATACAATCCTCAATCCCATCCATAAAGCTAACACAAGGAGTGAATTACTTCTGAGGGATGAAAAGTTCAATATATCACTTATTAGATCAATTTCTGCTTACCAATTTAAGACCAAAAAATAAGAATTAATTAGTGGAAACTAATAGAAAAAAGATACCACAATTACTTTAAAGTAAGCTTTACAGATAAATTAGAAGTAAAAAGCACTACCACTGCATAAACATGGATGCTTGCTTTAAAAAGCATCACAGCACTGCCTCCCCACTTTGAGAAACTCTCCCTTCTCCTTCTCTATCTGGTGTGGAAAAACCCATTAAAAAAAGATCATTTGTTTCAGAACATCCATCATTTTGTTGCATTCCTACAGGCAGAAACCTTACACCATTGCATCACAAATGCATTCCATTAGTCATATGGAGGAACAGTAAAAAATCCATCATAAATACTAGAAAAACATCTTGGAAGTACACAATCTATTAGCAAGGCATGAGATCAGATATTATAAAGTTCCCATGTGGCTGATCCACAAAAAGAGAGGTTAAGTAAAAGGGAAGGGGAGAGCCAATCTCCAGCACCAGGTTGGTAATAATAATTTAAACAGAAGATTGCATTAGAACAACCACAAGTCAAATGTAACAACTGTCAGAGATCCAAAGGAACAGCTTCTAGATGGCAATATAATACTCCTTTGAGATTAGTGAAGTCTTTATTGAGTATGCTTTTTTGAGACTAAAATGAAACTTCATATGCAATTTTCCTTTAAAACTAACTGTTACAATCTTGACAATTAATTGGCACACTGAAGTCTAAAGTAACAATAACATTAAGAATGCATTAAAGGTGCTTTTCCATTCACTATTTTAATTATGAAATATTAACTGCGGAGTTCATTTTCTCAAGGTATTTGGCACACTTGTAATAATAAAAGTAACTAATATTTACTATCTGCTAAATACCATGGTAAATATTCATATGTAATCCCTCCCAAAATTCCAACTTAAGAAGTATTACTGTCCCTTTTAAACATAATAAAATGGAGGGTAGTAAGCGACAGAGTACAGATTCAAATCCAGTGTGAACCCTGTGATAAAACTCATTAAACAGCCTTTACACAGATTATTCCATCTGAAACCGGCCATTGTGTCAAAGTACAGAAATCTGTGACTGCACATTTAATGTTTTGTTGTTTAAATTTAGTAAAATAATATTAAGCTTACGCCACACTACTGTATAAACAACTAACTGGGAAGACTATGAAAAAGAGATGACAATATGTTAAGGACAAACACCATACAAATGGCCAATTATTCAACACACACAGTTGTGCTTATTTATGTCTCTAGCATCCACTACTAACTCAATGCCAAGCTTAGTAAACACTCAACAAATATTTGTTGAATTAATGACTATAATACAGATATTTCCATGCATTCCTTTATGGTTCCAGAAACTAATGGACCAATTCATCTATTATTTATTTATTTTATTTATTTATGTATTTATTTGAGACACAGTCTCATTTTGTTGCCCAGGCTGGAATGCAATGGTGCGATCTGGGCTCATTACAACCTCTGCCACCTGGGTTCAAGTGACTCTCCCGAGTAGCTGGGATTTTAGGTACCTGCCACCATGCCTAGCTAATTTTTGTAGTTTTGGTAGAGACGGGGTTTCACCAACTTGGCCAGGCTGGTCTTGAACTCCTGACCTCATGATCCACTCGCCTCAGCCTCCCAAAGTGCTGGAATTACAGGTATGAGCCACTACGCCAGGTCTTCATCCATAATTTCAAAAAGCAAGTCTATACAGCATGTACCCAGTCTGCTGCTGTTCTAACAGCCCCTCCTATAATTAAAAACCTTCATTCTGCTGTGCTTAGACCACAACTCTAAATAATACACACTAACTAAAAATACTGTCTCTAAACAGCCAACTTGGAGATCACTTTGCCATTTACATTTCAGAGACTACTTTTTAAATGCAAGTACTGTGTTTTACCTAACGAGCCCTATTCCAACTTGGCAAACTGAAAACCAATTCTTTTTCTTCATAACTCCTCCTAAATCAAACTAACACATGGAAATAATCACTTCCAGAGGACAAAAATTATACACGGAACAAGTAATGAAAGAAAAGGAAGAACAAGAAAATAAAAATTAATTCATGAGATTTTATGCACACTTCCTGAAGAAAATACCAGGCTGGCAAACCTGGACTGTTTGTTTCCTAGGTTACTACCTCTCCCGACATTATCTTCCAGCCCTAGCACTGAAGAATTCACTGAAGGACCTGAAATTTGATAATGAAACACTAAGGAATCATCAATTTGTTAGTAACTCACAAATTCCTATACAGGAATTTAGCTTAAGAACAAAAAATAAAGGAGAAGGGACGACAGTTGATACCCCAGACAGCTCTATTCAAGTTTATGAATGATTTACTCTTAAGGGTGGCAAGACTTAATGCAAATGAACACAGAGGAAACTGTCAGCTCCATTGTGGTTCGACCAATAGAAGCACAGCTCCATCTTGGCTGTGCACTAGACTGCATTACAAACAGACGATACCATCGCTTCAACAGCATCCTCTCAGACAAGAGGTAGGTTTATACGATCTTTTTTATTTAGTGGTACATGTCCTTATGATGCAATAGGAAAATATTTTACCCTGAAAAATTAACCAGAAAGCTTTGCTCCTAATAAATATCCAAAAAAAGCAATGTATTTGTTTCACCGCTTGGTAGGATTTTATTACGAAAATATGAAGACTGCCTTGTGCTATTTGATAAGCGCCCTTACCATCTGTGCCTTAATGGAAAATTCATTACATTTTACATGAACCTGATCTATATCCAGACCTTAGAGTAAACCGTACCTTTTATTTTAACTGGTTACTTGCTAATTTCATTTTCTCTGAGCGATTTCATTTCTGCAGTTTGGTCTGTCTTAACAAAGGATTTTTCTTAAAGAAAAACCTGGACCAAAAGCGACTCCCAGACTAAAGCTTTCTGATTCTATGTGCAAATGATATTGGCTGCTAAAAAATAGTTACTTATAAGAAAGTTTGTTATATTTTTTACAACGATAAAATAGTTCAAAATTATTTTTATTTGACTTTGAACGTAGATGCAGAGAATGCCAAGAAATTATCACAATTTTAATTTTTACATAAAAGATCATAAAAGGTATCACTATTTAGGCTGCATTATAACCAAACAGATAATTTATACAGCTTCAGACTTCCTTAACATTTTAATTAAAATAATTCTTCACTGTGAAATTTATCTTACTGTAATATACAAGTCATGCTAATATTAAACAAAAACCTTCTTAAATAGCCTTTCATTTTTTATATCGATTTATCACAGCACTTAAATATAATGTTGAAGTCATTCTTAAACTGATCCTTAAAATAAATACAGTAAGTCCTTTTGTTAGCTGCATTTTAAAATAAAAATATGTCCTAGGAAGAATTGGTTAAGAAAGGAGAGTTAAGCACCTTTCTAGGTAACAAGATTATCTTCGTGGCTCAGAGCAATCATTCATGTCTGTTAAAAATTAGTATCAACTGCTGATCAAATTTCTAATTTCATACTATTTAAGCATAAAAATTTCGTTATTTACTAGATGTTAGAACTCCAGGATACATACTATATACACTGACCTAAAGAGCCAACTTCTGCCCTTTCACCCTGCTGGTAAGTTTATTTAAAGGCTTTTATTTTTCTTCATAATTTCCATCCCTTTTCTTAGTCAGCATTTGGCTAGCATGGCCAAAGTAACCCCTGCAAAACCCAAAGGTTGCTGTAATAAGATCTTAGCTCTGTCCAGGTTCAGCACAGTGAGGTTAATTACCTAGAAACCATTTGTGCTTGCTACAGAAAGTACAGAAGCACCAAAACCAAGTCTCAGATAAAATAAAAACATTGTCAAATAAAACAGTTAACGTACAACTCAAATTTCAGGTAAACTGTAAACAGAAACCCCTACCACCCACAATGTTTTAACACTGTACCATCAGCCTACATTTTGCTTGGAATATGTCTATTGTTAGCACAGATGGAGGCTCATTGCTGTTTCACCAAGCAGACTAGAGACGTGGCCTAAGTTCCAGAGTTTAAATTAAGTGAGTTGCTCTATATTTACAGGCTATTAGGATTAACTGATCATATTTCAAAGTGATATGCTTAAAAGCACTTGAGAATTCAATTCAAAGGCTTTTACCATAAATACACCAAAAGCCTAACTTTATTCTCTTCTGCCAACACAAAGATTCCAGAACAGTTCCAAGTCCCATCCCCGTCAATACTCCACTGGGGCCTTTGGAAATGGAAGTAAACATATCAAAATTAATATAAAACAAAAACACAGCTGGGTGCAGTGGCTCATGTCTGTAATTCCAGCACTTTGGGAGGCTGAGGCGGACTGATCACGAGGTCAGGAGTTCCAGACCAGCCTGACCAACATGGTGAAATCCAGTCTCTAGTTAAAAATACAAAAATTAGCCAGGCATGGTGGCGCACATCTGCAATCCCAGCTACTTGGGAGGCTGAGGCAGGAGAATTGCTCGAACCTGGGAGGCGGAGGTTGCAATGAGCCAAGAGCGTGCCATTGCACTCCAGCCTGGGAGACACAGCAAGATTCCATCTCAAAAAAAAAAAAAAAAAAAGCAAACATATATATATTTATATATATGTTATTTACTTTAAAGCTCCCCATTCCTGTAATCAAATTTTAAGGGGTGGGTGGGGAAATCCTGAAAAAGACTGTTATTTTACTTTTTTATACACCATTTTCTCTTGCTTTTTATAAAGAATGTTTGCAGCATTTGCTTAATATAAACTTACATTTTAACTTCAAAGCTAAGTCTCAGGATAGGAGAAAATCCTAATGACATATTTCTTTTTTGGGGGGCAGGGGGGACAGAGTCACACTCTTTCGCCCAGGCTAGAGTACAGTGGTGAAATTTCAGCTCACTGCAACCTCCGCCGCCCAGGTTCAGACAATTCTCTTGCCTCAGCCTCCTGAAAAGCTGGGAATACACACACACCTGCCACCACAACTGGCTGATTTTTGTGTTTTTAGCAGAGACGGGGTTTCATCATGTTGGTAAAGCAGGTCTTGAACTTATGACCTCAGGTGATCCACCCACCTCGGCCTCCCAGAGTGTTAGGATTACAGGCCTAATGGTATATTTCTTTCTGCATACTTAGTTATGCCTAATCCATGAAAGTAAGATTTACCTTTTCCCCTAAATTAACCATCAAAAATTAATAGAGCTCTACCATACTTAGAAAGAACATGCCACACTAAATTTCGGGTAGAAAATGACTTCATATTACAGTGTTTACTTTTTTCAGATATGCCCAGAAGCTAACAAATGATGAATGTTTTGAGCTGCTCGGTTATCGATACACTCACAAGGCAAATCATCATCATTTGCAACATAAACCAAACCTATACACTTTCTTAAACTGCTCAGACACTTCCAGCAAAGGATGTTAAGTGCCTTTGGAGGTAGCCTATGGTGTTACCCATAGTCATTAATACAAGCGTAATTGGTGGGGGCGGTTGTTGTTGTTGTTGTTTTTTTTTTTTTTTTTCCAGACAGAGTCTCACTCTATCACCCAGGCTGGAGTGCAATGGAGAAATCACAGCTCACTGCAACCTCAACCTCCTAGGCTCAAACTCTCCTCCTATCTGAACCTCCCAAGCAGCTGAGACTACAGGTGCCTATTACCATGCCCAGCTAATTTTTATTTTTGTAGAGACAGGGCCTCACTATGTTGCCCAGGCTGGTCTCAAACTCCTGGGCTTGGCCAGATGCGGTGGCTCACGCCTGTAATCCTAGCATTTTGGGAGGCCAAAGCAGGTGGATTACCTGAGGTGAGGAGTTCAAGACCAGCCTGGCCAACATGGTGAAACCTCATCTCTACTAAAAATACAAAAATTAGCTGGGCTTGGTGGTACACACATGTAATCCCAGCTACTAAGGAGACTGAGGCAGGAGAATCACTTGAACCAGGATGCTGAGGTTGCAGTGAGCCAAGACCATGCCACTGCACTCCAACCTGGGAAATAGAGCAAGACTGTCTCAAAAATAAAAATAAAAACTCCTGGGCTCAAGTGATCCCTCCTGAGTAGACCTCCTGGACTCAAGTGATCCTCCTGTCAGGGCCTCCCAAAGTATGGGGGTTATAGCCATGAGCCACTGCAACCAGCCAAGCAAATTATAAGCATTTTTATATGTGAATAAAGTATACAATCTAACCAAATGACAGTGTTTACTAATCCCAATTTGAATTTTTTTGAATCCAGAAAACTCAATAAATGTAGTAAACAAAAACAAGAGACTCTTTTTAAGTGAAAGCAAGTTTATTAAGTAATGGAACACTCAGTAGCACTCTGGAAGTTGTATTAGGCTAACATTTTGCATTACTACATTATATAAGTAGATATTAATAGTTGATTTAACTAGATGTGTTAAATTTTGAAAGTGCAAAGATATTTTATCTTTTTGAATTAAAAGAGAAGAGCTAAAAATAATAACAATAAAAGAATGGTTATTCCATACTACTCCATAAGCAGAGCAGACCTGAGGGCTGCTGATTGGCTAACAAAAGACTTTTAAGAAAGCCAAGAATAAGAAACAGTACTTTTTATTTCTCCTTTTAAAAGAGATGATTTATTTTGGTTTTAAATAAATAATAAATTCAAATGGTTGAAAGAAACAAACGAACACAAGGTATAGGTTAAGAAGCCTCAAACATATCACTGTGCCTCACTCTCCTCCCTATGGATCCCCATACACACCATCATTGTGATTAATTTCTTGTAGGTCTTTCCAAGATGTCTATGCAGACACAAGCAAACTAGAGTTTATGTGTCCCCTTTTCCTATATACTCTGTCCTACACCTTGTTCTTTTCACTGAAGAACATATCCTAGGGTCAGGCGTGGTGGCTCACGTCTGTAATCCTATCACTTTGGGAGGCCAAGGTGGGTGGATCACGAGGTCAGGAGTTCAAGACCAGCCTGGCCAGTTCAAGACCAGCCTGGCCAGTTCAAGACCAGCCTGGCCAATACGGTGAAACCCCGTCTCTACTAAAAATACAAAATTTAGCCAGGCATGGTGGCTCATGCCTGTAATCCCAGCACTTTAGGAGGCTGGCGTCGGCAGATCACTCAAGGTCAGGAGTTTGAGACCAGCCTGGTCAACACAGTGAAACCCCATCTCTATTAAAAATACAAAAATTAGCCAGTCGTGGTGGTCAACACCTGTAATTCCAGCTACCAGGGAGGCTGAGGCAGGAGAATCACTTGAAACCAGGAGGCAGAGGTTGCAGTGAACAAGACTGTACAACTACACTCTAGACTGGACAACAGGGTAAGACTCTGTCTCAAAAAAAAAAAAATTTACTGTAATGATATTTCTTAAAGCAACAGTGAACATTTTAAATTAACATTAACTTCACCAATAAGGCAGATTAAACTAATCTGAGAGACACAATGTAGGAACTGCTTTTCTCTACTGTTTTCTCTCCCTATCATCCTTCCCCTTACAATACTTCTAATGCCAGGTTTAGAAAAAAAAGCCTTCAAAAGAAATTTCCAGACTTTAAAAAGGAATCAACCTGGAAGGCCTTAACAGAAAGTCCAAGGAATATTTCCATAAATGCTGGGGTGATCCTCAACTAGCCCAGGTAAAATGACTGGACAGACCCCCAACCAATTCTTTCTGCTCTTTGCCCACCTGCACAAGTGTTTCCCAAAAGACCTACTCTTCCTCATCTCCCTCTCATTAGCTCTGTTCTTCAAAAATGACCTGCAATCATTTACACTTAAGTAAAATAGCTATAATAATGTGTGCTACCCCTCACAGGAATATGCGTATTTTGGCAGTGCTAAATAACTTAAAGGACCTCCAAAAGCTGAGCAAGTTTAAGGCATTTGAGTGTGAGTGTGTATGCATGACACTACTCTGTTCAGGATGCTGGGTCAAAAAGGACCTAACTTTTGTCTCCATTTAAATAATTTTCTATGAGTTACTTTAATTTTTGTGTGCATGGTGATTAAAACTAGGGGAAGCAACAAGACAGAGGTTGAAGGGGTAGCCTATTAGGATATTCACATTATACAAAGGGGCACTATTTACATCATTTTCTACATGAACGGCACCCCACAACACAGTATGAATGGTGCTCCCTGGAATTGTGCAAGGTAGCATCCCTGCTTTCTGTTAGAAGTACTCTGAAGAGAAAATGCAAATGATAAAAGGATAATTTTGAAAGGCTGGGTATAGTCAGAAAAAACTGTAATGTAATAGGAAGTTACACATCTCTGTTCCAGACCATGTATTTTTGTATGATCCCAAACTAAAAGCAGCAATTGATTCTGTTACTGTCCATCAGTCTGTCTCTAACTTCAAGACAAAGGGTCACCAAGTACCATAAAACAGGATTCCTAAATCCAAAAGAAAACATAGATTTAAGTATTTACTTCTGGACTCAGATCATCAGTTTAACCTTCAAAATGCAGGAGAAAACAAAGGAGGCAAATCCATTCAGAGAGGTGAAATCATTTATCAAGCAAACCTAAGAAAACAAAAACCTTAGAAAACGTAATTTTATCAACCCCAAATTTTAAAAATTTACTAAGAAAACAAAGCAATGTAAGGAATTATAGTTACAACTTTGAGTTTGGGATGTGAAGATAATACTGTGGTTATGTTTAAAAACAGAGTCCTCACCACTGGGAGATATATACTGAAATATTTCTAGATGAAATGATGTCTTGAATTTGCTTTAAAACCACCAATGGGGTGGAAGCAAACAGGCAGAGGTAGAGATGGGCCAAGGGCTGATGAATGAAATTATATTATAAGTACATGGGATACTCTGATTTCTCTTCAGATCGTATAAATCTCTGGTCTTTTACTAAAGATTTCTTTGGAGAGGAGCAATTCTGAGTCTTAACCCAATTTCTGAGGCCCTGCATTTGCAAGGTTACTAAGAAAAAAAAACAAAAAAAAAAGTACATGGGGTTCATACTGCTTTGTAGTTTTTGTTAAATGAAACACTCTCACACACAAAGTATCTCCAGAATTTAAGCATTTGTTATAAAAGTAAAATCCTGGCTGGGCACGGTGGCTCATGCCTGTAATCCCAGCACTTTGGGAAGCCGAGACAGGTGGATCAGGAGGTCAGGAGATCGAGACCATCCTGGCCAACATGGTGAAACCCCATCTCTACTAAAAATACAAAAATTAGCCAGGCATGGTGGCACACGACTTTAGTCCCAGCTACTCAGGTGGCTGAGGCAGGAGAATCATTTGAACCCGGGAGGTGGAGGTTGCAGTGAGCCAAGATCGCACCACTGCACTCCAGCCTGGCGACAGAGCAAGACTCCATCTAAAAAAAATAAATAAAATAAATAAAATAAAATCCTCTTTACAAGTATGTAGTAAAGGGAAAGCATACAGAATGACAATCAATAAATTAATGAAGTAGAATTACATTTTTTCTCCAATTTCCAAAATGTTCTTTGTTTTTTGTTTTTTGTTTTTTTTGAGGTGGAGTTTCGCTCTTGTTACCCAGGCTGGAGTGCAATGGCGCGATCTCGGCTCACCGCAACCTCCGCCTCCTGGGTTCAAGCAATTCTCTTGCCTCAGCCTCCTGAGTAGCTGGGATTACAGGCACGTGCCACCATGCCCAGCTAATTTTTTTTATATTTTTAGTAGAGACGGGGTTTCACCATGTTGACCAGGATGGTCTCAATCTCTCGACCTCGTGATCCACCCACCTTTGCCTCCCAAAGTGCTGGGATTACAGGCTTGAGCCACCGCACCCGGCCTCCAAAATGTTCTTAGTGCACAGGTATAATTTTTTAAAATAAGTGTTAAAATATTGGAGATTGAGATAGTAAAAACTCATTTAGTTCCTTATTGCCGTAGTTCCATACTATCAAATGTTTAATCCTAACAGTCCCCATTTAAGAGCTAACAAGTATCAGTTTAAGAGCTAAACTTAATGCAGTAATACTCAAAGTTGAATTCACTAGCTTCTTTAGTGAAATGGAATAATAATTTAATAACATACCTTTGGGAAGGCTAAATTTGTCCTTTTAAAAATATTTCTGTCTGTGGGTCACTTAGATATATGAAACATTTAAGACTATTATCTGCAACCCCAAGATTAAGGATTCTTCACAGACAACTTTAACCTAAAATTATATTATCCCCATTCTGAAAACTGGCATTATTTGGCTTTTCTTTCTCTACTATTTTTCACTCAGTCACTATTTCCTGATTCAGATCACCTGTCATCAAAGATTAAAGGAGGGGAAACAGAAGACAGAAATACACTGAACCAAAAAGGTAAGAAGAATCCACCATGCTAATGATAAAAGCTTTTCCAGGCGCAGTTTGAAGAACACAACCTTAAAACGCCTAGGTTTTTCATAGACAATAGCTCATTGACCACTGCTTTAATCAAGTTTTAAACCAATACAGTTGCCTTTTCCCCTTCCATTTGCAGTTAATTTCTGTATATGAATTTTTTTTTTTTTTTTTTTTTTTTGAGACAGGGTTTCAGTCCCATTGTCAAGGCTAGAGTGCAGTACCACGATCTTAGCGCACCGCAACCTGCACGTCCCTGGCTTAAGCAATTTTCCAAGCTTAGCCTCCCAAATAGCTGGACTACAGGCACGCACCACTATGCCTGGCTAATTTTTGTATGTTTTGTTGAGACAGGGTTTCATCACGTTGCCCAGGCTGGTCTTCACCTCCTGGACTTAAGTGATCTGCCTACCCTGGTCTCCCAAAGTGCTAGGATTACAGACATGAGCCACCATGCCTGGCTGAATCTTAAACATACGTGTTCATCTAACAAATAATCTACATTAAAAAAACAGGTTATGGTTTACTAAGTATGTTGGCACAGATATACAAAAAATTCAAAACGACCATTTAGGCATTAGTTAAGGAAGATTCATGTTGCCTATATAAATTTACTAAGAAATCTTAGTACTGAGATTTGAATTAACAGATCTGTAGTTTGCTTACATAAATTCATTTTCTACCTTTTTTATAGATTCAAAAGAGCAATATAAGAAGTGGAATCTCTAAGAATGGCTTCCAGCCACTGGAATGAAACCACTACCACTGTTTATCAGTACCTTGGTTTTCAAGTTCAAAAAATTTACCCTTTCCATGACAACTGGAACACTGCCTGCTTTGTCATCTTGCTTTTATTTATATTTACAGTGGTAGCTTTAGTGGTGCTGGCTTTCCTTTACGAAGTGCTTGACTGCTGCTGTTGTGTAAAAAACAAAACTGTGAAAGACTTGAAAAGTGAACCCAACCCTCTTAGAAGTATGATGGACAACATCAGAAAACGTGAAACGGAAGTGGTCTAACATGACAGATGATGAACAAAATCTCTGAAAGCAGCTCAACCTCTTCTGAGAAAAAAAAAATCTTCTGAAGTCAAGTGTTACTATAAAACAAATTTTGACTGAATGGTTAAAAGATTTCTAGTAGAAGGGGAAAAACAAGTTAAATATGCACTGCTTGTGTGTGTAGCCCTTTCATTAAATATACAGTAAAACTTCACAGATGTGAATTTACCTGCCTATTTAACGCTGACACTTCAAAAAGTGGATAAAAGATTCCTAGAGTTCAATATTGAGCAGCAAAAGGTAAGCTGGAGCCGGGCGCGGTGGCTCAAGCCTGTAATCCCAGCACTTTGGGAGGCCGAGGCGGGTGGATCACGAAGTCAGGAGATCGAGACCATCCTGGTCAACATGGTGAAACCCCGTCTCCACGAAAAATACAAAAAATTAGCTGGGCATGGTGGCGTGTGCCTGTAATCCCAGCTACTCAGGAGGCTGAGGCAGGAGAATTGCCTGAACCCAGGAGGCGGAGGTTGCGGTGAGCCGAGATCGCGCCATTGCACTCCAGCCTGGGTAACAAGAGCGAAACTCCGTCTCAAAAAAAAAAAAAAAAAAAAGGTAAGCTGGAAAACACAAGGGAGGTTAATGATGCTAAAATAATTTTATACCTGACCAATTCATGTAGCTGAAAAAATTGTGTGTTGCTAAGAAGAATGCTATTTAAAATGTGTTTCTAAGTCTAAACAAAATACTTCCACTTATATATGAAGTACCTATTTATAAAAAGTACTATTTTCTAATTTATTGAAAACAACTTATATAACTAACGACTTAAGTTTTATATAGGATATGACTAAGTTTCAAAATAATCAAAAATGCCATAGTATATTTGCATAAAATTCTCACAAAACTGTTTAGTTAGAAATGCATAATATAGGCCAGGTGCAGTGGCTCACGCCTGTAATCCCATCACTTTGGGAGGCCGAGGTGGGTGGATCACGAGGTCAAGAGATCGAGACCATCTTCGCCAAGATGGTGAAACTCTGTCTCTACTAAAAATACAAAAATTAGCTGGATGTGGTGGCGCGTGCCTGTAGTCCCATCTACTTAGGACGCTGAGGCAGGAGAATCTCTTGAACCTGGGAGGTGGAGGTTGCAGTGAGCCAAAATCACACCACTGCACTCCAGCCTGGTGACAGCAAGACTCTGTCTCAAAAAAAAAAAAAAAAAAGAAAAAGAAAAAGAAAAAGAAATGCATGATATAGGAAAGGCCTAGGCTATTTTCAAACTAAAACTTATTACTACATCCCTTCACTTCCTGAGTTTGTTCTTTCATTTTACCTCTCATAGTCACACTCTCAAAGGCTTACATAACCTAGGCAGAAAACACTGCAAAAAGGCCACTGAACACCTGTTGAGAAACAAGGTAGTTTTATTTCTTGGAATTGCAAGGGCTATATAGATATTTTGTGACCTTAACACTATTTAGCTATCACCTATGAGGAAACCAAAGCATGTTCTTAACCACTATACTACCCTTAAGTCAGAAATCCCACTCCGGGGACTGTATCCTGAGCAAGCTTAAGGTACAAAGATTTTTATAATGGCATTACTCAAAATAACAAAAAATTGGAAATAACTAAGCTTTTTTTTTTTTTGAGACAAGGTCTTACTCTGTTGCCAGCCTGAAGTGCAGTGGCACAATCTCAGCTCACTGCAGCCTCTGCCTCTGGGTTCAAGCGATTCTCCTGCATCAGCCTCCCAAGTAGCTGGGACTACAAGCACGCCACTAGGCCCAGCTAATTTTTGTATTTTTAGTAGAGATAGGATTTCACCATGTTGGCCAGGATGGTCTCCATCTCTTGACCTAGTGATCTGCCAACCTCAGCCTCCCAAAGTACTGGGATTACAGGTGTGAGCCACTGCACCCAGCCGTAACTGAGCTTTTAACTAAATATGCCACATTGACTTAATGGATTATTAAAAAGCAACTGGGGCCAGGCACGGTGGCTCATGCCTGTAATCCTAGCACTTTGGGAGGCTGAGGTAGGCGGGGAGGCCGAGGTGGGCTTATCTCAAGGTCAGGAGATCAAGACCATCCTGGCCAACATGGTAAAACCCCGTCTCTACTAAAATACAAAAAATTAGCCAGGCATGGTGGTGCATGCCTGTAGTCCCAGCTACTCGGGAGACTGAGGGAGGGAAATCGCTTAAACCTGGAGGTGGAGGTTGCAATGAGCCAAGATCGTGCCACTACACTCCAGCCTGGTGACAGAGCAAGAATCCATCTTAAAAAAAAAAAAAGCCACTGAAAATTCTGTTAAGATAAAAAAAAATATTTAAAAATAAGGTCCAGGTGCAGTGGCTCATGCTTATAATCCTAGGGCTTTGGGGAGGCCGAGGTGGGCAGATCACAAGGTCAGGAGTTCAAGACCAAACTAGCCAACATAGTGAAACCCATCTCTACTAAACATACAAAATAAATAAATAAATAAATAAATAAATAGCTGGGTGTAGTGGCGGGCACCTGCAGTCCCAGCTACCTGGAAGGCTGAGGCAAGAAAATCGCTTGAACCCAGGAGGGAGAAGTTGCAGAGAGCCAAGATGGCGCCACTGCACTCCAGTGTGGGCAACACAGCAAGATTCTGTCCCAAAAATAAAAAATAAACTCAGAATATAAAAGTTTTAATATAATTATCAATGATAATATAAATTAATATACGTATCAGTAAGGTCTGAAAACAAACATGGAGAATTAGAATAGTTGGTATATTAAGAGGGCTATGGGGACCAAAAAAAGCACTAGGTATTACAAAAGACTTTTTTTTTTAAATCTCCACCACTGATGGAATTTTTTTATGTGTAATAAATAACAGTGGTAAAGAGAGGAAACCTGTTATTTTCAATTTAAAGAATCTTAGCTGGGCGTGGTGGCTCATGCCTGTAATCCCTGCACTTTGGGAGGCCAAGGCAAGTGGATCACCTGAGGTCAGGAGTTTGAGACCAGCCTGGTTGACACAGTGAAACCCCATCTCTACTAAAAATACAAAAAAATTAGCCCGACATAGGAGCGGGTACCTCTAATTCCAGCTACTTGGGAGGCTGAGGCAGGAGAATCACTTCAACCTGGGAGGCAGAGGTTGCAGTGAGCCAAGATTGCGCCAGTGCACTCCAGCCTGAACAAGAGTGAAACTCCGTCTCAGGGGAAAAAAAAAAAAAGAATCTTAATTGCCAATTTGAAACCACTCTTCCACAAAGTATTTTTTTATATTTAAAAGGACTTGTGAAGCTTGGGTATATAAAATACTTTGGTAACCAGGAACTGAGCACTGCTAAAACCACATACATTTTCATAAACACTGGATTCTTGGCAACAGATGGGAAGTACACAGGTTCTCCATAACCAGATTTTCTGGCCTGCCACAGTGGCTCACACTTGTAATCCCAGCCCTTTGGGAAGCCAAAGCGAGTGGATCACTGAGGTCAGGAGTTCAAGACCAGCCAGACCAAATGACAGAGACAGGTGAAAGCCTGTCTCTACTAAAAATACAAAAATTAGCCAAGCATGGTGACAGGCACCTGTAGTCCCACATACTCGGGAGGCTGAGAGGAGAATTGCTTGAACTCATGAGGCGGAGGCTGCAGTGAGCTGAGACCGCACCACTGCACTCCAGCCTGGGCAACAAAAGTGAGACTCCATTTCAAAAACAAAACAGATTTTTTAACAGTGTATACTATTAACTTTCTCTACCCTGTCCTGTAATTTATTTCGACATTTAACAAATATTTACTGAGTACTTACTACAAGTCAGGCAGCAATTAGGCCAGATACTGAGGGCGGAGTGGCAAACAAGGGATCACGTCATTGCAATGGTAAGTACACTGGGAGCTCCATCAGAGAGTGAGTGTTATAAGAACTCAAAGGTTATGCACTGAATTCACACTGGAGAATGAGAATAATATGACTTTTAAGCTGAAACTAAGAGGGTAGGAGGTAAGAAAGAATATTCCAGGAAGACAAAACATTATGAGTAAAAGAGGCATGAGAGAAAAAAGCATGTTGGAGGAGCTACAAGTCAGTAACACTAGGACAGAGTACAAGGAAAACAGTATGATACTAGACCTAAGAGATAATTAGAGGCCAGATCAGGCAGGTTGCAATAAAAACATGACTTTATCTGAAAAACAATAATGATCAGCTTGAGCAGAAAGCAATATGATCTAATGAGAAAAATCACTGCTGTATGAAGAATGAACAGGAAAGAAGCTAAACCAGAAGACCTGGTTTAGCAATCCAATGACAGTGGCCTGAACTAGAGTGGTATGGTAGCCTTTAGTGTTTCCACCCAATATTTCTAGCTCTCTTCATTAAGAAAAGCATGCACTTCGGAGCCCCCTATGGTTGGGAACATAACTCTGGCCAATGAGTGACTTGTGACTAACTCTGGTCAGTGAGCTGTGACAGGATGTGATGTGTGTTCACCTCCAGGCCACAGCACTTAACTGCTACTGCAAGCTCTTCCAGAGTTTGTTTTCCTGCTAACACAGAACTCACAAACATTTGAGCTACCACCTGCTCTGTGAGCCCAGTGGTAGTCTTGAGTGCTACAACTAGCTAAAATTCCTGCCAGCCCATGATAAACATGTAGTATGAAAGAGAAACAAGCTTTTGTTGTTTTAAGACATTGAGAATTTGGGATTCTTACTACAACAGTTTATCCTATCCTGACCATTAGTGATAACCCTGGCCAACCAAAGAGAAGTAAAGCGCTACAAAGGCTCTTCCTGCTGTTGAATGGGATCTGCTGTTTGTGTGGAAGATGAAATTCACTACCCAATACCTGTAGCCTAAGCTACAAAATGCAAAGACATTCTTGAGCAGGTCAATGGCTCAAGTGGCTTAAGCCTAAGAGTGGCTGTGTTAATGTTTAAAACGGTTTTTACATTTTGTTTACAATGGGTTAATTCTATGTAAATTTCACTGGAATGACAAATAAACCTACTGTATATTATAAGAATGACAGGCCTACTCTGATTTTTTTTTTTTAAAAAGCTGTTTTAAAATCAGTTATTAAAGCAGCGAAGAATATGTAAAAAAAAAATAAAAATAAAAATTATTGCTACATTATGAAGTAGCTAAAATAATTTCAGCTGTGAATTAAGTTCCAGTGACATTGTTTAACAG